AAGGGAATTCATATTTTCAAAAGTTCTTCTGGAGGTATGTGGACCACAAAGCTGAAGGATCACTGCTCCAAGATAGGATTTTTCTCAACTTTTATCACACAGAATGATCTGAGAAATTTACTGAAAACTTTCCTGAAAATTCTGATTCAATGGGTTATGGCTCAGAACCCATTCCAATAACGCCACTCATTCCACCTCAAACTGACCAGTGATTCTGACAGCCTTTAAAATATGTTTTAGGAAATACTACTCCACAAGTTAAAAATGGAACTATGAACTCTGTCATTTTAAAACGAAATCCTCCATAAAAATTGCCTCATTTTACAATCACACCTCCTCCTATACAAATACAATCTACCATTCAGGCAAAAATTATAAGTATGTACCTAAATATACTTTATATTTGGGAAGAGTGCTGAGGGCATCGTGCATGCTAGGCACACTCAACCACTGAGTTATACTACAAGCCTACATTTATTTTTTAACTTAAGCATTATCTACATTAAATGGAATAATACTTGAGTAGAGAAACGAACTTGCCGGGCCGGGTGGGCAGCAAAGTTCGGAGCGGCCGAAGTTCTGGGGAGCTCGGAGCCGGGGTGGGGGGCATTCTTCTGGGGCGTCCCGTGGGTGACTGTGGCGCTTCTGGGGCCCCGGGCCAGCTGCACGGAGGAGGCCGGCGCCTGTCCCCCCGGCCCAGGTTCTGTGATACACTCAGACTCGACTCTGGAGCAGTCAGTGCATGACAGAACTTGGGCCGGGCGGTCGATGATCCGCACCCACCGGCCTGGAGTGGGCCGTGGAGGTGGCCATGCGGTCAGGGCTGGATCTGTGGGCCTGAGGATGAGCTCCCCGGGCTCCCAGGCAGCCCTGACCGGCAGGGTCCCCTCCTCCCGGTCTGTTTCAGGAACCCTCCCTGTACACCATCAAGGCCGTGTTCATCCTCGATAATGACGGACACCGGCTGCTGGCCAAGGTAACCCTCCTGTGAGCTCCCTGAGGACAGAGAACAGAGCTGCAGCCCAAGAGGAGATCCCTGCCAGCCCCAGCCCACCCCTCTGGGATCTCTGACCCACAGCAGCCCAGTTTAGACCTCTGGCTGCCCACCTTGTGCAGCGGCACCCCGTTTCTGCTCACGCTCCCAACACGTAGGGGCACCCACCCATCCTCCCACTGGGCAGCGGCGCCGGCCTAGGAGGGGTGGACCCGAGAGGTCCATGCTTGTGGAGCCTGGGACCCGAGAATCCTGGCTAAACAATCGACCTGCACTCTTTAAGTTCTACAGCTTGGTGACCATGAGGATGGAGAGTCAGGATTTAGAACCAGATGGGATTTTACACAGCGTATAATCCAACTCTTTAATTTCACAGATGCAGAAAATGCAGCCTAGAGTTGCCAAGTGCACTGCCTGAGGGTCCAAAGTTACTATCATAACTCAAGATTTGTTTTTTCCGGGACTGGGATATGGCTCAGTGCGAAGGCCCTCGGTTAAATCCCCAGGGATTTTGATCTTTTACTTTTTGAGACAAGACCGCCTTGATTCATTGTGTAGCCCAGGCTGGTCTTGAACTTTTGATCCTCCTGCCTCGGTCTCCCAGAGCACCAGGATCACAGGTGAATGCCACCAGGCTTCAAGATTTTTGACTCGAAGGGCCAGGGATTTAGCTCAGTGGTTCTTCCACCTGCCTTGCAAGTGCAAGGATCTGAGTTCAATCCCCGGTACCAAAAAAAAAGAGAAGATTTTGATTTGAACATCAGAGTGATTCTCATGATGCCATTTAATTATCTGGTTTCAATCCTAGCAAACATGGCCTGCAAAAACCAAACTAGGATAATCCCAAACTGAACTTGAAGCATCCACAGGTTACTAAAACAGAGCTAAAGCATCTCAATTAGTTATGGGGTACATTGTCAATGTTTTTCCGCTTGTCTGACGCTGGAACTTTCTGGTTTTTGTGGCGTTCAAGTGAACTCACCCATCCTGGCACTGCCACTCTGCCAGCAGCTCAAGCACTAAGTGGCAAAATCCCCACCCAGAAACATGAAAGGTGAGCTGGCCACACCCTGGCCCAGCAGAGGGAGGGTTGGCGATGCCAAAGCCACCCGGGTCCCCTCTCCAGCAGGAACACGCAGTTACAGATTAAGAAACTGAGTCGGGAGAGGCTTACCAAACCCCAACAGAAAATCGCCGATTTCCTCATAGACTGTGTGTACCACGGACATCTCTGCAGAGACCAAATCTTCACCATTAGCCTTGTCTGAAGTCAGACTGTTCTGGGTGTAGAACCCCAGCTGTGGTCCCTGCCGCTGTGAAATGTGGGGAAGACTCCCAGCTTCAGACCCGGAGAAATCATCTATCCAACAGATGATTTAGAATTATCATTTAGAGGGGGCCGGTGGCTCTGCCATCTTTCCTGTGGGATGGCTGGTGTTGAACCAGGCGTGGTGGCACACACCTGGGATCCCAGAAGTTGAGAGGCTGAGGCAGGAGGATCGCTGTGATTTTGAGGCCAGCCTGGGCTACACAGTGAGTTCAAGGCCAGACTGAACTACATAGCAAGGCCTTGTCTCAAAAAAATGAGTAAGAAAAAAAATGAATAAGAAGGGCTGGGGATGTAGCTCAGTGGCATAATGCCTGCCTGGCAAGTGCAACATCCTGAGTTCAAGTCCCAGCACCGAAGCAAACAAACAAACAAACAACAAAAAGTTTGTAAAAGAGCCAGCCATGGTGGTATCCTCTTGTAATCCTGGTACTTGGAGGCAGAGGCAGGGGGTCGCCATCAGTTCAAAGCCAGCCTGGGCTACACAGTTAAATTCAAGGCTGGCATGAACTACATAGCAAGACCCTGTCTCAGAAAACAAAAACCAACCAAAAACTTGTAAAGGAGAGACAGGGCGGAGTCAGGCAGCGCGATCCTGCGTGGCGGTCCGCCCCTCTTCCCTGCGGAGGACCTCTGGCCCGAGCAGTGGCTGTGGCCTGTCCACCTTCTCCCCTCACAGTATTACGACGACACATTCTCCTCCTCCAAGGAGCAGATGACCTTTGAGAAAAACGTCTTCGACAAGACCAGCCGGGCCGAGAGTACGTACCCGCCCCCTTGTCCCCCAGGACCGTGAGACGAACCCCGCCTGTCCCTGTCTGGACACAGCTGTCCCCACAGCCATCCCCTCCTCCCTGGGGCTGTCGGCCCGCTCCTTCGCCCTTCATCCGGGAACCTTTCCTGCCCTCACCGCCCCCCTCCCCAGCACACATCCCCGGGCCCCTCCCGGCGGAGGAGGTCACCTGTGGGTGGCCCGGCCACCGGCCCTGGTCCAGGACACTGCTCTGTCCTCTGCAGGAGGCTGTCTGCAGAAACAGAGGATGGGGTGACTGAACAGCCCATCCGAGCGTCCCCTGCACTGGTCTTTCAGGGGACAGGTAGGAGGGTTCAGGCTGGCCCCAGGCAGTGGTGGCCAGAGCTGAGAGCCCCCCACTTCTAGGTGAGATCGCATTTTTGGGGGGCTTGACCGTCGTCTACAAGAGCAATGTGGACCTCTTCCTGTATGTGGTCGGCTCCTCTCAGGAGAACGAGGTGAGTTCCAGAGAGCAGGGGACAAGGAGGGTCTGGCGTGAGGCGTGGGGTGGGGGGGTTCTGGGCACTCGTGGTACCCCTGCTCTGAGTGCGGAGGGGCTTGCTGGGACGGTGTGTGTCCCTGACACCTCTTAGGAGCCTAGGAAACTGGATGTGAAGTCACCACGCCCTCTGCAGGGAGCCATAGAGTCTCGTGCTTTGTTTTGTTTGAGACAGGATCTCCCTATGTAGCCCAGACTAGCCTGGAACTCACATTGATCCTCCTGCCTCAGCCTCCTACTAAGTGTTGGGATAACAGTCATGCACCACCATGCCCCGCTTTGATTTTTCCTTAATGTAACTAGAAAAGAAGACGCTCATTATCCCACCAGTCCAGACCCCCTGAAATTCCCTCTTAGGTCAAAATGTACTGGCCTCCAGCCCATCTTCTGTGAACTGGGGGCTGGGGCTGCAGCCCACGAGGCAGCTGAGGGCCCCCGGGCTCTGGGCCTCAGCTTCCTTCCTGTCTTCCTTCCCAGCTGATGCTCATGTCCGTCCTCACCTGCCTGTTTGAGTCCCTGAGCCACATCTTAAGGTGAGCAATGGGCTCTGCCCTGAGGGGCGCAGCCTGGGGTCCCTCTCCTGCCCTCTGAGGGCCCGCCGGCCCCCAGGCCTTGCCCTTCCTTACCCGACCTCCAGGGGGCAGCGGGGAGCAGAGCTGGGGGAAGGTGTGGCCAGCAGTCCAGGCCCCCAAGCTCCCCGAGTTGCCCGAAGTCAACCTGTTACTTTAGCACAGATCCCAACTCAGGTGATTTTTCTTTTTTTCCCCTCAGTACCAGGGATCGAACGCAGCCTTGCCAGGCAGGCGTGGCGCCGCTGAGCTACATCCCCAGCCCAGGTTTTTTTGTTTTTGTTTTTCTGGTGGTACTGAGGACTGAATTCAGGGCCCTCTTGTTGCTCTACATCCCCAGCTCTTTCTGTTTCACTTTGAAACAAGGTCTTTTTAAGTTGTTAAATTGCCCGGGTTGGGCTTGAACTTTCAATCCTCCTGGCCCAGACACGTTTTTTTTTTTTTTATTGTTATTGCTTTGTTTTGTTTTGTGTGGAGTTTTTTGTTTGTTTTGGGGACAGAATCTTGCTATGTAGTTCAGGCTGGCCTTTTACTCATGGAGATCCCCCTGCCTCAGCCTCCCTTGTGCTGGATCACAAGCATGCCCACCAGCCCGGCATACTTGGGGTTATTGGTTAGAAGCTCTGGATGGTTTCCCAGCATGCTCCTTCTGTTATCTCTGACCTGGCGACTACGACCCAGGTGAAGCAACCTGACATAACCCGGAACTAGACATGCACTGGCCCAGGACTGCCCTCGGCAGGACTGTGGCATCTGAACCAACTATGAGATGTTGGGGTACCGGGCAGGTGTTGGTGCCACAGCGAGGGAGGCTGGGCACGGTGGGCTCCGGGAAGAGCAGGCTCCACCCTGCTGCCTGAAGGGGGGAAAGGGTCGCCTCGCCCAGCGGGACGGTTCCTGTTCCGGCCACCGGGGCTCAGGTGCTGTCTGCGGCAGGAGGGACCTGGAGAAGCAGTGGCTGCTGGAGAACCTGGATGGGGCCTTCCTGGTGCTGGATGAGGTCGTGGACGGCGGGTGAGCAATGGGGACTCAGCACAGCCCCGGGCTCCCTGCCCCCCAGCCCTCCTCAGTGCGAGTCAAGTCAGAGCAGGGCACCGAGGGTACGCGGGACATCCAAGATGATGTCTGGGTCTGGGAGGAGACTGACCCCTGCCCTGCAGGAGGCCTTCACAGCCTCCTCCTGCCTGCGCCAGGAGAGCTGCGCTCCAACACCGCCGGGGCAGGGCGCTGATTAGGGGTAAAGACCGAGATCATGGAGACTGCTCCGGTGTCTGTCGAACACGAAGATACCTTTACCATTACACCCATTTTTTTTCTGGGGGTTGCAGCTTCTCCTTTTATAGGTTTTACAGCTATGATCTCATTCAGGCGGTTACATTTCATTTCCTCGGTTCACATGGCCCGTGTACAAGTTACAGTACCCAGACGGTTCACTTTAACCCAGACATAACAGTTCCTTGTAGTTGGGGGTTTTACCTTACGACTCCTCTAGCTGTCTATCCTAGTGCACAGGAAGGGGGTGTTCAAGGTTAGGGACAAGGCCAGATGTCCCTCTTCATGGTCAGTGCCTCTGGTGTTAATCTGGAACTAAACAAAGCAGATTTCTGTTAAGAAACAAGAAGTCATCTTACATTTTGCTACCATTTTGTAGGTCTTTAGGTTATTTACAAAAGTTCTCTATCATTCCTCCCTTTGTTTCTGGGGTAACTCCTTGCCCCTCATTGAATTTATACCAATTATTTTTGGGGGTTTTTTTTGAGACAGGGTCTCACCTATGTAGTTGAGACTGACCTGGAACTATTTGGCTCAGGCTGGTCTCGAACTCACAGCGATCCTCCTGCCTCAGCCTCCTGAGTGCTGGGATGACAGGTGTGCACCACCACGCCCGGCTGAATTTATACCAATTATATCTAATGGGTAGCTGAGTTAGGGGTACACAGTAAGCTTTATGGGCTCTCAGGGCAGGTCGCTCATGATGCCAGTTGCCTGATAAGTCATCATGGTGAGTGGTGCCCAAATCTAGTAATCAGAGGCTTCTTTCTGGTCTGCCCGTAAGAGCAGTGAATGAGTATCAACATTTGTGTGTGTGTGTGTGTGTGTGTGGTACCAGGGATCGAAGTCAGGACATTGCATTTGCCAGGCAGGCGAGGCGCCACTGAGCTACACCCCTGGCCCTTGTTTCTTTTTCTTTTCTTTTTTTCTTTTTGAGACAGGGTCTCACTATGCAGTTCAGGCTGGTCTTGAACACGCTGTGTAATCTACAGGCTGGCCTCCAACTCCTGGGGATCCTCCTGCCTCAGCCTCCTGAGTGCTGGGATCACAGGCGTGCGCCACCCACACAGCATCCATTTCCCAGTTTTTCCATGGTGATGAGCAAGCGTGTGGCCCAAAGGGTGAAGTGCAGGAGAAGCAGAGCCGAGGGCCCCTGCTGGGAGGGAGAGGGGTGACTTGGGGCGGGGTCCTGGAGGTGGGAGGTGAAGTCACACTGAAGAGAGGGCTGCAGCACAGGCAGCAGAGGAGGCCCTGGGGGGACCAAGCTGCTGATTGGGCTCTGGGTTCTTCCCCGACTTGCAGTGTGATCATGGAGAGTGACCCCCAGCAAGTGGTCCAGAAGGTGAATTTTCGGGTGAGTCTTCCAGCCTCCCCATCTTCTCCAGCTGCCCTCCCATCCCTCACCTCCTGACCTCCCTGGGCAGGCACTGCAGAACCCAGGTGGTAGAAGCCCGAGCTCTAGCTGGGTGTGGTGGTGCGCACCTGTCATCCCAGCACTCAGAAGGCTGAGGCAGGAGGATCGCTTGGAGTTGGAGGCCAGCCTGGGCTACATAGCGAGACCCTGTCTCAAAAAAGCAAAAAGAGACCTTCTTGTCTTCTGTCCCCGGCAGTATCCCAATCCCTCCCCATTCTCCCTGGCAGGAAGGGAACAAGGCCATTCTCAGAAAGGTGCCAAGGCTGCCTTGGCCTTGAGCCTCCAGCTCGGGGTGCAGGAGAGCCCCCAATTGTTTGGGCTACTTGCGCCTGGAAGAGACTTTCCTCCCATCTTTATTTCCTTTGCCCCTTGGGCCTCTGTGCTCCACAGATAGGTCCCAGGGTCCTGGCATCCCCAGAATGGGCTGCAGGACTTCTGTGGACTGGGGCCACCGGACCGTGGTACCTGCTGCAGCCCCCGCCCC